GAGTTCACGGGTTGGTTGCTCACGGAATGATCGATGGCATCTCGCTTTCAAAAGGAAACAGAAAAGAAATCTTCATTTCAAACAAATTACGAGAAACACTTCAAGTGCAGAGGTCTGGAGTATACCAGATTACGGCAGTCTTTTTTTTAAGAGGAAGAGGGGTGCATTGACCCAAAGCAATGATCCATGACGGCTAGTCAGTTATGGTCTATCATTTTTTCTCGGCAAACCAATGCCCAACATATCCCATTGGCAATAATCAAATGGGCCTCTGGAACCAGATAATACCCTGTGGAGATAACCCAGAATACTAGAAGAATAATAAAAGGAAAAGAGAACCCCCGCGCCATGCATCTCCTTGACCTGAAATCAGCCCACCTCCGTTCCCAAAGTCCAAACAATGAAGAATGAAGCTATACGAGTTAAAATTGGTATCTAGAATTTTGTAATGAAGACGGCTGTGAGGAAGTTAAGCTCATTTCGGCTTCTGGCCGAATTTCAATTTCAGCTTGAACCCACCGCCACTGGGTGTGGAAGGTGTAGATGGGGCAGTCGTTGGTTTTGGCTGTGCTGACGGAGCTGGAGAGGGAAGGTTTGGAATGTGCAGCTTTGTTGGAATTTGCTGCGATGATGGCTTTGGACTGAATGGTGTAGTACTGGATGCCACCTTGGACTGCTTGAATGTGATACGAGGGCCGGGTGGTCCCATGCCTTGCTCTTCGCGCTTGCGTTTCGGGGCTGTTGTATCTTTGGAGGGCGTGAGCGTTGTGCGGATTTTGTTCGATCGGACGAAGTGCATGCGTCCCTAGGTTGAGTTAGCAATGATGCAATATGATTTGCTGTTATCCGTGCTACGTACCTTTCCGAGATGCTTCACGCTCCAGTAACGAGGGTATTTCAGAGATACCATCCGAGTCGTGATTGCGTCATAGAGGACTCTGCAAAGATCGGTGAACTCAGAGAGCTCCAGTATTCCAATGCACGAGGAGTTGCACGCAGCCCAAAGGGACTCTTTCAGCATCTGATCGCCGGAGATCTCTTTCTTGAGAGCACTCAAGGCTCCGGTAACTGTTTGTCTCCGGGCAAGGTCTGCCTGACGGACCTCGGTCGAGGACTCCTGCTCGATAATCAAGTTATCGGTGTTGCTGGCAGGTGCTTCATCCTTGGTTTCACGGCCAAAGGCGACTGGCGCGAGAGCCTTTCCGAACAGGTTATGTAGGCGGCACCTGATAAGAGCAGAAGAGTCGTTTGACATGGTGAAAATGAACCATCGCAGTAGTTCGGGGTTCCGGAAAATGTCAAGCTCAATTAGGCATTCAAACGCATCCAAGCGGAGGAGATCGTACGTTCCAGCTCGAGTGTATGGTAGGAATTGCATAATATCAAGGCTCAATATTTTTGCCTCCATGAGACGCACTTGGCAGCGCAAAGCGGCTCGTGAGTAGATGTTCTGGAAAGAGCTGGACCATTCATCCATCCTGCGATACCTATCAATCTCTGCAATGGCGTCTTTCTCCAATTGTTCTTCTGCCTGAGCCTCCAATACACGTTCCATGTCAAAATCGTCCATCTCGTCAGAGGGCCTCTCAGGCTTGCCCAGCATGGCATGGCATAGCGATTCCATCAAAGTCGCGACATAAAAGTTGTCCGAATACTGTCGCAGCATAAGCGTCGGGTCAATGAAGAATTAGCTCACGTACTTACCTCGTTGTTTGAGTTATCGTTGAACTTTAACTTGTCGTACAGGAAACGCTTGACCCGCATGGGCGTCTTTCCGTTAGCGTCGCGTATTTTAGATATAGACTCAGGGATGGCTAATTGAATGAAGTATGCTGCTCTGTCAGAGAAGTCATTAGAGCGAGTCATTGGGGACCCTGGAAGGCAAAATAGTTCTTGGAAAGCTCTTTCGAGGTGGAACAATCCGACCCAGCCAACAGCATCAGTAGCATGCTTCACCAGAGCTCGAGCGGCAGCCACCCGAATTCCGTAGAAATATCTTCGATCCATCAGTGTTCTGACGAATATGGTGGAAATGAGCTCGTGCTCTCGCTGAATCGCCATATATTGCAATGACTGGATATCACATATTGTCAGTTCCAGTACCTAATGAATAAAGAAATTTACTGACCTCCAGCTGCGCTACGACGTCTCGATCTTGCTGAAGCTGCGACAGGTACATGTACCCTGGCATCGCCAACGAAAGCTTACATATCCACTCAAAATCTGCATCCATGCGAATCCATTCATAGGACTCCCTGCTCATTCTCTCTTCCTCTTCTTCGCTCCAATCCCTTAGCCTCCACTCAGCGACCTCTTCTTCGCTCTGCAAGACGTCACCGAGACAGTAGAGTAGGACATCTTCCTGGGTTTCGGCATTAGGGTCGCCACCTGTAACGGCAGCCGCGCGCTCCTTTTGTCGCTTGTTTCGTTTGAGACGTTTGTACTTGGTATTATACGGTATGTCAAACTTGGTAACGCCCTCCTTGATCTCCACGATGTGTTCATAAGGCGTGCCATCGGCTTCGTGAATTCTGATGGTCATGGATCCAGTGAAGACCGGCTGGATAACTCCTGCATAGACGCCCCGTATCTCCTCTTTGACATCCCGCATGAATGCATTCTTGTCCAAGTCGCGCGTACTTGAGGCATCGGCTTGCACCTGCCGGATCATCATCTCAACCACAAGCTTCTTCTTGTTGAATCGCTGCGTGGCTTGGAACCGAGGGCATCCTGCTCCATATACCCACTGCTGGAAGAAGGAGTCGAGCTTTGCGTGGCCAAGTCGCTCACATGTCCTCTGGAAGAGAGAAGTCGTGACGGCACCATTCGGTATATCACCCATCCGGGAGTTCAGAAAAAGACGGGAGATGATGCGCGACATCGTTGCCTTACCGCTTGCTTTCGTAAGTCTCCGGTCCAGAATGAAGAGGACAAGCGGGGCCTTGAGCGCTATGAAATCAATTTCAGACGGGTCTATCGTCAATATGGTACCCATGTCGTAGAGTGACGGACGTTCGTAGTCCAGCTCACAAACTCTATCAGACATCTGTTTTAATCGAAAGCGATACTCATTATTCCCACAAAGCTTCCGCATGAATGTATCCGTGATATACCAGGCGACACCGACTGTTACCCAGGTATCTGTTGATTCTTTAGGTACGATGTTTACACCGATCCACTGGCAGGATAGGGCATGAACTAGGCTGCGAGTAGAATCATACATAGGATCGATGATGTCTTCGGGGAACAACAGGCGGCTGCTACATATCGATAAACAAGCCGTGGGTAGCGTGGCATCAGGTGTATCGTCCACAAAGCATATCTTATAGCTAGCGAACGGGTAGGAACCGTAAGACAGTGAGAAGAAGTCGATCGCTTTCGCCATAGGAAAGCAGGTGTTCCTGACCTCATCTCCTCTTCCTGGGAGGCAGAATGCGTGCAGCGGTATGGCGTTAAGACCAAGCTGTTCATCTTGGTCGCTTTCACGAAAATCGGAAAGGTTGATGTACTCGAATGGACCCACGGCAAATCCAAGCTGCTGGGCGGAAAGGGGAGAATAGCAGGCGAAGGAAACTGTCTTCTTGGTAGAATCTTTGGGGTCGATAATCTCATCCGTCAGATCCCCGGAGCAAACGACAGACAAGTCGAGAGTTTCGTCATCCGGAGCAATATACCGATCATGCCCAGAAGCGGGCTTCGAGCGACTGGGTCCAGAGGCACCCGAATGATCACGAGATTTGCGATCAAACATATCACCTAAGGAGCAGGGGCACTTGATCGAGAACTCCCACGTACAGCGCGACAAAGGATCGTCAACGCAGGGGAAAAGAGGACAGCCAGCGCCATACCCCAGGGAGTTTGTTGTATAAGCGTGAGGATAGCGTCTGTCGCCACTTTCTAATCCGACAAACTGCAACCCATCCCGAATATTCTCAATGACGAAGTCGATGGTAACCGTGAGGGCCGTAAAGCGTGGAAGTGACGACTCGGCCGCCTTGGAACTCAAAGGGCCTTCTGCATCATCAGCGGAACCCGTAGCACGTAAAGTCATTTGGTCTTGAGCTTCAATCGAGGAGGGATCAAGTTCATCGATCCGGACGCTCTTGGGGACCGTAATGAGAAGGTCAGATTCTGGAGGAGATTTGAGTAGTCCATCTATCTTCGTCGCGAGGCGCTGGTGATAATGAGGGCCGTAAAGTTGAAGCGTGTCATAAGGGTCCGTGTATTTGATGGTAGGTACCTTGCCACTGACATTGATACGCCGAAGCTCGCCTTGTCGGAAATTTAATCGGATAACGCGAAGGTCTTTGTGATGCGGATGGATCGTGAGTTCCGTTTTCCCCTTGAGGCTCTTGCTGGCAAAATCTATCTCAAGCTCGACCTTCTGATGCGCGACGGTGAATCCCAGCTCCGGCCTGACAGGCCCAGCTGGGGTCTCGACGACGCCTGGCATGGCGCAAGATACTCAGTCGTGCACTGCGCCGCGAGCGCCACGATGGCCAACTACCGTCATGTCCAAGCTCCAGGAGCGATGACTTTTCCCACCTGGCCGCTTTGATCCTGACAGACACTCGATTTTGGTGGTGTTTAATCTCGTGTAGGCGGGGGCGAAGAGAGTGTTAACTAGGAAGAGATGGAGAGCTGCTTCGACGGGCGGGGAACAACACCGAAGGGAAGCAAGCGTTCGAGGTGACCGTGACACTGAGCGAGGTTTGGCACGAAAGAACCGTTCGATAGGACGGGGAGGGGGGTGATTAGAGGGGGAGACTGAAATGAGTAGTAGCACTGGAGGAGATGGACGACCCGGGATCGTCCCTCCAACGACCATCAAACTGAACAATCACTTTTCTATCTTTTCCTGTCGCGTTCTTCTTTGCGGTCGAAAGCTTCCCTGCGGAGCTGGCACCGCCACGTGATTCCGATCCGCGGATGGCGCGAGGAGCCGCCCGTTCCTCTTTCGGTGCCGCATCGTCAAACGGTTCGGGTCCCTTTTCTTCGAACCCTTTTTTACCTTTCTCCTAGCCTTGGATTCATTTCCCTTCTCCCTTAACATCCCCTTCCCTCTATCTTGCAGCATTCCGTTGTCTGTATTTCCTCCTCGTTTATATGCGATAGAGCGTTGACGTTGTCCGTTTGATTGCGCTTTGGTTTCCTTTCCCATCCCGTCGTTGTCCGTCTAGTCGCATACCGCGCGATATGAGCCAAGTTTGATTTTGCCCCCCCAGATAGTCTTTTTTCTTTTTTTGCCCAACATTCCAGCTGTACATCCGAATTCAAGATGAGTGTAATATTCAGAAAGCTCCAAGGTTCGTAATATCCTGCTACAGCACTCATTCAGTCCAACGTAACTGTAGAGCTAATTCGCGTCGCGCATTGTATAGCGATCCAAGACTCGCTTTCCGACGACGTGCTCTTGCCCCTCAAGAGCTACAAGTACTCGAGTGTCGATAAATCCTATATCTCAAATTATATACTGAGGCATTACGTACTGCCACCCTAATCCGATCTATACTTCATACCCTAACACTGACATGGGCTGGTTAGTGGAATGCGTTCGTGGAAATCTTGCCGCTTTGGCTGGCCCCGAATATGGTCACCCTCTTGGGGTTTCTATTCATCGTGGGCAATGTGATGCTCATTGAAGTGTACATGCCTGATCTCGTGGGACCTGTAAGACGACCCCTGGAAGAACCACATATAAGTACAACGACGCTGACAGGTTGTCATTGTAGGCTCCTTCCTGGCTATACTATAGTTTTGCGCTAGGCATGTGGATGTGAGTATATGGCTGCATAGTCGATGTGGTAGCCCACTTCTAATAACGTCTCAAGGTATTCTACTCTGGACAACGTCGATGGGAAACAGGCGCGCAGAACAGGGACATCCAGTGGTTTGGGAGAGCTCTTCGAGTAAGTGGCCATTAAGATATAGAATGAAAGGCACTGCTAACTCTTCATAGCCACGGAATCGATTCTTTGAACTGCACTCTGGCTAGTCTTCTCGAGACTGCTGCCATGGGCTTTGGCTCTTCTCAGCTTGGTGCTTATACTGCACTCGTCCCTTGCCTCGCAATGTACTTTTCGACCTGGGAAACCTACCATACCCATACACTCTATCTCGGCTACTTCAATGGCCCCACTGAAGGCCTTCTTATCGCGATCGCGATCATGATTGCCTCTGGCATCTATGGCCCCCAGATCTGGAGCCGACCGATCGTTGAATTCTTGAATTACCCGCAAATCTTTGGGAACAACTCGATGAAGGATCTCTGGGTTCCCATCCTCCTCTTCTCCTTCTTCCTCGGACACTTGCCCGGTTGCGTCATGAATGTCATTGCTGCTCGTAGAAAGCAGAACCTTCCGATTGCACCCGTCTTCAAGGAATGGGTGCCGATGATCGTATTCACGGGCTGCAACATTGCTTGGCTTTTCTCTCCGTATTCGACGCTTCTATCGGAGAACCGACTAGTCCTCTACTGCTGGACAATCTCGTTTGTCTTTGGACGCATGACGACCAAGATTATCCTCGCTCATCTGCTCCGGCAGCCATTTCCCCATTGGACGGTGCTGCAGGTTCCGCTCATCGGCGGCGCCATCCTAGCCAACCTTCCCCGCCTCGGATTCCCTATGGTGAGCGCCTGGTTGGAGCTACTTTACCTGCGCCTGTATCTTGTGTTCGCCTTCGTTGTATACATGCACTGGGCATTCCTCGTGATCAACAGAATCACTACTTTTTTGGGAATTAATTGTCTGACGATCCGTCGTGACAAATCGGCAGCAAGAGACAGGGCTTATCGTGAATTTGGCGAGAACCAGCCCCTCAACCCAAACTCTGATCCCAGCAAGGGGGGTATCAAGAGCCATTGACTATCTTCATATGATGCGTGTCATCAACGCATCTGATGGATTTAGTACCTTCGTGGTCGTGATATATAAAATTCGCTGCGCAGCCTACGTCCCCTGTTGAATACTACGGGGCTTAGACTGCGCAACTGGAGTTGGCGAGAGCAGAAGACCCAGGCTTTTCCATGATAACAACACCCGAGCTGCAGCATCTTTTTCTTATTCCACTCTTGCTGGTTGTCTTGGCGACGTACATGTCCTCCCATATCTATGATTCTAATGTTCCCTTTGGATTATGCCACCAGCATTCAGGCTGATGAACTTACGACATGAGTGGATGGATGACTCGGACGCAGATCAGTCGTCCCTAGTCAAGCTTTTCCGGTATATAGTTCGATGATAGACAGTATAATAGCTTCTAATGAAATGATAGAGTTGTATAGAGTACAGAATATTGATCATGAACCAGTATGGAGCAGACTTGATGCAGTAGACCCAGAGCAACCAGAGTTATACACACCGACCACGATTACAGAAGATGCGAAGCATGATAGATGAGATATATCGATCAAGCGAAATTATGGGATGACCGGGATCTGCTTAAACTGAAAGCCCTCACAAAGAGAAACTGTTCAAAGTAGGCTCAAATCCTGCGTCGAAGACTGTGTCTCATTTCCCAATAATAAGCAAAACAAGCCCAAACGATACCATCGATCAACTCCCGCCTGAGATCGTCTACCTGATAGCGGCATTATCACCCACTTATGAAAAGCGGTATATCAAGATCTGGCCTATTGGCTCAATGGTAGAGCGTCGCTCTCCTAAAGCGAAGGTTGTGGGTTCGAGTCCCATGTGGGTCGGTGTATTCTTTTTTTTCGATTTGGGAAATCGTTACCCGCGGAGCATCTACTCCTAGTCATAACCCCACTACGGAGTACTGCAGCTAGATATATATACCGAAGTCCCGTCTCCATGCTCGTGTAGTAGTCAATGCGAATCTAATAGAGCTAGCACACTTTATTCTTTTTGTTCTTTTGTAAGGCGGAGGAGGGGTAAAGATCTTATCTTTACGCAGTATGTAATTACAATTCGAGTTCGTTTTTGGGAAGGGGGTAATTTTCATCTTATTATAAGCATTTGGGGCAGAATGATCCTTTGGGAAGGAACTTCCTGGTGTCGAGTACTTTGGAGTAGGAATGAATGATGTGATATGTTGTTAGATGTTTGCGGTATATTATTCCTCAGTGTGTATGTATTCATTGCTTTGGGCGCTTTGTTTCATCCACGAGGTCTGAAGTCCATTGATTGGACTCTGGTCTACATAAGCATTGTTCATCATTGAAACATGATACAAGCATCCCTGCTCTCACCAAATATAAGAATGCCAGAATCAGATCATCGGAAGCGAAACGGCCGTCGATGCATTTCGAGATTCATCTTGTTCGGGTCCGATAACGTATACAATAGCACTGCATGGAGTCCATCCCCTAACATCTCCAGAGACGTATCGCGCACACGAGCATGTTCTGGAATGAAGCCGGCTATCTCGCCCTCGCTCTCGATTGCAACTACCTGACGTGCCAGAGTAGCGAAGAATCGAGAGTCATACGGCCCTTCGCAGTGGGGCCAAGAATCGAGTAGACTTAATGCTCGTTGTCGAGTTGGGAGATCTCGACACCGGAGACTTGTCCAGCTTAGTGGAGCAATGACGCCCATGTCGGTCACTATCTTGGTAAGATTCGTGCCGTACTCTGCCCTCATGCTGTTTATGATGCGCTCACAAAAGTTCACGAATGTTCGGAATTGCGGTAGATAAGAGTCATATACGAGCTCTGACAGGCTGAGCATAGTTTCCAGATCCACCATCAAGACGATATGGTGAAGCCTTATCATGTCCATGCTGCGTGCTTCCTTGGCGGTCATCTTGGATGGATGAAATTGTGCGCTGAATGTCTCAAAGGCTGAGATATGTTTCATTAGCTGAGTCCGTATCCTGTGGTGCTGGACTGATAGTTGCAGGACGTCGACCATTGGATTTCGGAGTAATGGACGACAGGTGGTTCGAAAGCGGAAGACGACACTTCCCAGGGGATCTAGCTTGTCTTTTACGTCCTCCAAGCTTTGGAAGTCGAATTCTTGGTTAAGAATGTCTGTAGTCAAATAGCCATTCTGTGCCCCCAAAGTAGTAACGGAGCCAGATACTCTGAAGTGCGCGGATTGAGCATCCAGCTGCGCGAACGCTCGCAGAAATGCCCTTTCGGCAGTAGATTCTTGGACCGGCTGGAGGACTTTTGACAGTACAAGGGTACGTGCCTCGTCCCCCTCACGGTTCGCCAAAACATGAAGCCCGTTCTGAAGATGAGTGAACGCTTTCCCCCGATTGCCTTGAAGGTACTCGAAGAAAATGAAGGCGACACAGCACATTAGCACAGCCAGGCGCACCTGCGGATCGTTTGACGGCAGGCGTTTTTGTAGGGCAGTGATGGCCCTGCCGTATTGCTCGAGGGCGAAGCGATGGTGATCATTACGATCCAGGTCAACTTTCCGCAGCGTCGTTCCTCTAGCTTCTAAGTCTTGATGCAGGGCCCCCAGAGCAACGACCGCATGGCAGACAGCGGTTTCGGCCTGGCTCATCTGGAGTGCCAGTCGCTGCCAAAGTTCCGAGTCATAGAACCCCACCATCCTAGGCACAGTGTGTGTTTGGAAGTAGGTAAAGCACCGGCGCTCATCTGAACTCATTCCAGGGAGACTGATTCGAAGCCGAAACTTTGGGGGACTAGCATTGAGCAAATACCCGGCGACTTTTGGGAGTCTGGTCAAGTCGTACCCATCACAAGTCCGTCCGGTGGAGGTGCAGTTCTTGCACGCTCCAGGAGCCTCATCGCATTTGACTCTTCTCGTCCGACAGGTCCGACATCCGGTGCGGGATCTTGGGGCGTAGTGTCTTCGTCTTTTAGTTTCCATTCCGTACAGTCACGAGCAACACGCATTCTGCAGAAGCAAGGTTTGGACCCTGAGTCAGGCCATAGGGGTGCAGAGCAATTAGCTTACCTGCTAGTCGGTTATAGTTAGGGTCATGGATGCGTTGGATTAGTAAGATGATGGTGAGGCTTTGTTGGTCAACAGATTGCCACTATCCCAGACCGGCAGCAGTAGCGCTTATTGTTGGTGCCCCTCCAACCAGTACCGGTTATTCACCCCGTAATTCCAGTAATAATCTGCAGCAGTCAAGGCTGAGATCTTACTTCGATAAGTCTAGTTCTGTGGGGAAGGTATTATAGCTTTATTCGCGGAATAATCCTTGGTTTCTTCGCCTGTGTTAGCGATGCCCACAGAATTATATACCTGTCTGAAACAATAGGATCATCATAGAGCACCTCTTGGTTGTCATAAACAGAAATTGTTTCACACTGTGGACGTGATAAGCACAGTATCAGAAATGGAAAGTATAGAGGGCACACGTACTAGCTTTAGCCTGGTAGTATCCAACGATGAGGCTCTGGTGCACCTGATGCCCATGTTGTACCGCTTCCCCCGCCAATCCCACTATTACCGCAAGGGAGGAGGATCTTCTTCCTCCGCGACCGGCCTGACTGGTCCTCTGTTCTCCACGCCGCTGAGCCTAGTCGTACTAATTCTCCGGCTTTCTGTCCGGGAAACCGGTGATCTCGAAAGATGTCCGGTGCTTCAGATAAGTATTCCCCGCTTTGATAAAGTCTGATAACTGTCGTGTGTCGCTGATAAGGCGGCGGCCATGCTAAAAGTCCATACATCTAAGTCTCCATATCCACACGAGGATGCTTTGGGAGACATTATTCTTTGAAACTCTTCACACATAGTGCTCTGATTTAATATACCGCACAGCACAAGGTTCAGGATCAACATGGACAATTCCGTAAAATCTGCGGCCCCTGTTGCCCACTCCCTTGATGATAAAGGGTCAGGCAGTATTCGGGTCCAGAATGCAGATGAATTGCGCCTGGCGCAGATGGGTAAGTTCGATGTCACCAAAGCCTCTACCTTCTGCAGTTCTAACAATGTTTTCTACTTCCGATCAAACAGGCCATAAGCAAGAGCTGAAACGCCACTTCTCAGTATGGAGTCTCATCGGGCTGGCTGCAAACTGTACCATCTCCTGGACTGGTGAGTTGCGTACCACTACAGACTTGACAAGCCTCATGCGACGCCTCAAGGAACCTGACATAACCGCAAACAGGACTCGGTCTGGGTCTCATCACCTCCATCAACGCTGGCGGTCCCGGTGCCCGTACGGAGCCCCGTAACTCTAGAACAATGCCATGAAATTGACACTCCCAGTTATCTACGGATTTATCCTCGTCTTTATCCTGCAATGCTTTCTAGGAACATCACTAGCGGAGTTTGTTTCTGCGTACCCAGTCGAAGGTGGGATGTATCACTGGATTGCAGCCATTGCCCCGAAACGTTACAGCAATGTGTTAAGCTTTGCGACTGGTTGGAGCACAGTGTTCGGCTGTATGGACCTTGACAATATCTGCCAAGTAGTTTGATGCTGATGTCTACAGGGATATTTACCACCGCCTCTACGAACCTCGTTTATTCGTCGAACTTCGTCGCCCTTATTGCCTTATACAGACCTAATCTTGTTGTGCAGCCTTGGATGACTTTCGTTGCGTACCAAGGGTTCAACGTTATAACATCTGGAATTGTCATGTTTGGCAATAAGTGGATGCCAGTAATCAACAAGTTCTCATGTTGGTATATGATTCTTGGTTTCTGTGGTTCACCTGCTAATATGGTTGATGGGATAGTATGCTACCTCCAACTGGCCTGGTTCGTCATCCTGGTCACCGTCGCAGCCACTGCCCCCAAGCATAACGATGCAGAATTCGTCTTTCGTACTTGGATTAATGAAACTGGTTGGAAGAACAACGTCATCTGTTTCATAACGGGCCTAGTCAACCCTCTCTACTGCCTAGGCGGCCTAGATGGGATCACTGTACGTATTTCAGCTTGCATTGCACGGAAGTGGCTACTAATCAGAACCACAGCACATCACCGAGGAAATGCCAAACGTGAGTAGCACACATTAGCGCCTGATCAGGAGCTAAACTATACATTGCAACAGCCAGGAAGAAATGCTCCTTTAGCCCTAGGTAGGCTAAGTAACCCTGTTCCTCTAAGACTATACCAACGCAACTGTCTTCTTAGCTTGCACACTCGCCATAGCTTTCGTAACCGGCTTCACCTACCTCCTCAGTCTCATGTTCTCCGTCCAAGACTACGCAAGCCTCGCCGACTCCCCGACAGGCCTCCCCCTCGCAGAGCTTTTTCACCAGGCAACCCAAAGCCGCGGAGGCGCCTTTGCCCTCGTCTTCCTTCTCTGGGTTGCAGTCGGGCCATGCATGATCGGCTCACAGCTGAGTATGACTGGACTACCCCTTCTAAGCTACGAATCGACCATTCACATTAACGACGGGACTCTAATAGGTACCGGACGAATGCTCTGGGCATTTGCCAGAGACGACGGACTTCCCTTCTCCAAATTGTGCGCTTCCAAATCAAACCATGTAATCCGAATAACAGACACTAACCGCATCCAAAGCTGTTCCAAAGTCAACAAGCGATTCGGAGCCCCCGTCAACGCCCAGCTATGCGTGGGTATCATCATCGCACTTCTAGGCTGTATCTATCTTGGTTCCAGCACCGCGTTTAACTCGATGATGAGTTCTTCTGTGTACGCACTGCCCCACTTCCTACAAATCCCTAAAACATCAAGAGAGAGTTTCCCTACGTTTCTGACTTTTCTCCACACGCAGAACCATCAACAACATCGCCTACCTTGTTCCCATCCTCACAAATGTCCTCCTTGGTCGGAAAACCATGCACCGTGGTCCGTTCTCACTAGGATATGTAGCAGGAATGACAGTAAATATTATCACTGTTGCGTGGCTGGTCTTCGCAATTGTGTTTTTCTCGTTTCCGTATGATATGCCTGTTACTGGTGAGTTATATGTTACAATTTCTCTTTATCAGCGTTCAATTTCGTTCGTATTCATTCTAATATTTATATAACAGCCTCAAATATGAATTATACGTGTGTATGTGTTGGTGGATTCTTGCTGTTGGAGCTACTGTGGTGGATTGTGGCGGGGAAGAAGTATTCGAGACGAATGCAGAAGGTAAGGGAAGAAGAGAAAAATGCTTCACAGGCGGTGGTGGTGGATCATCTGGGAAAGAGCTGAATCTGGTATTGTTTTTTGGGTTTGGACCAATTTGTCTTGTCTTACGTGTATTGGTTAAGGTTATATTAAGGTTGAATTTATGACATATGATTGTGTATTTATTAGGAGGGATTGAGATGCTCTGGACTTTGATACTGCACGGCCCCCGTACATGCATATATGGCCCTTGAAGCTAAATTAAATCCTTGATTTCAGATTAAATATACCGTGCATATGCATTTCGGATGGCGGGGGCAACTAAATGTAACAACAACGTCGCAATTCTCGCATGCCTGCAGTGCAAGGTGGCTGACGCGTTGAGAGGTCATGTCATGATTATTCTGAGTACAGAGCTAGAAGTCAATCAATCGGCCATACCCGTAATAGGGAAAATGGCGGTCACATATAGCATCTGATGGACGAATTGTGGAGAAAAATATTAGCAGTCTTTAAGCCTCTCAGAGCTTTGACCATATACTTCAGTGTAGGCGAGCAGGAAGAGCTCCTCAACTGCAGGTGAAGATGCATCTGCTACCTTCCACATGAATGTGGTAAACTTTGCGCATTAATATATAGCTCAAAGGCTGCATTAGTACTATCGCATGTCTAGTCAATTTCGACCCTACATTTGCAGGGTTGGTTGTCCCTACTTTGCTGATCACTCAAATGCAATTATTATCCGAGGCTGGCGTAACATCGTCGAGTCCGTTATATAAGATAGGTGTAGCTAGATATTAAGTTCAGTGATGTGCTGAGATTAACACAGTCTCCCGAACAAGAAGTCCTTGACGACTGGTGAGCTGGAGAATTCAGGGTTCAAGAGGACACAGCTACGCCGATTGATGTTAGCGATGAGCCACTGACAAGACTCAGGACTGAGAATAACGTCGTTGCTGCTTACTTCAAGAAATATTCCAAACCAACCCTGCGGGACTCGAGAAATGAAGCGCGAAATTTGACTGGGTATCATCCGTCAGTCAGATTCATGACTCGTGTGGGCTGTCTCGGACGTACATATGACGCTCTTGGGAGGAAGAGGAGGCAGGGCATTCTTCGCATGTGGGAAGGATGCCACCAATCGTTGTCGCAAGTCGTCGAATTCCGAGTACCTAGGGACAAACATCTTAGCAAAGACCAACCATTTAGGTGAAATCCCGAAGCTCACCTTAAACGGACGGTGATGGGACCACCCTACAAGTCATTAGCACACAGAACTTCTGAGAGCATGAAGCGATAGCTCTGCGAAGCAATGAAATGGAACACCCGATGAGAGAACGCTGACGTACATCCAGTGTTTGTATCCTGCAATTCCATACTACATAGGATCCGATACCTGTCTTGCCTTGGACGACGACATGATCATCGACAACAACACTTTTCGCCCATAACCCACGACTAGTCTCACAGTCCGGATCCTCTGTATGGTCCTCAAGTGTAATGCCTGGCGCCTGGTCAATAGAGAGGTGTGAAGCTCTGGATGCGTTTCTATGGTGGCTCCAATACGGCGGAACTATGCCGGACACCGGACGGTCCCTGTGCGAGAGGTCCTGTGCCCGAGGAAGGACCGAACCATTGCTCACAGCGACCCCGTCCGAAAGGGTTGCAGCTATAGTACCATTGTTTATGATGTCCGGGGGAGGAGTCGAGGATTGGGTAGGCGAAGAAGGGCGAGGTTGGTGCGGAGGCACGGAGCCAATGTCCTCATTCGCTGGCTCCATCCATCTAGATATTCGGTGGACGGGACAAATGCGAGCCTGTCTGTCACTAATAATAGGTTTGGTAAACGGCGTGCAACCACAAAAGAGGAGATAGGTGGCGGGGGATGGCTAAATGTTTGGTCACTAACGGGAATTACTAGTGAAGCTTGCTGGCACAACAGGAGGTCTGTGTACTGCGTTTCAAAGCCACAGGGTGTCAGCCCGGGTTTCGGTCAGGTATGGCTCGGTATGATACCCGAGAGTGAGAGGGAGCGGAGACTCTGAAAGAAGGAGGGGGAAGGGATGTTGATAAGATAGAATGTCTCAGATGGGGAGGGATTGCTGCTTGAAGCCCATGGATTGACGATCGATATCAAGTCATTCCATCGGCCACGCTCCGTGTTCCGAAAGGAGCCAACGGGGATCACGGGACCACATCGTCCAACGCCTTTCCAGAAGGAGCGAGTCATGTGCTGCTTATCTAGCACCCGCGAAGGTACCTAGTAAGTGGGTAGGTCTTTTGGTATGGGTGAAAGTTATGTTAGACACTAAAAGACATATATTTCAAAGGTTATTTTTCTGTTTTTTGTTTGAAAAGGATCTCCATTCTGCACCAAAAATGAGAACCAAAAAAAAAAAAAAGTCAACGCAGGATGCTTTCTTTGTGCAGCAAAAGCAAGACTCAATTCCCTCAGGACTAGACTAGTTAAACAGGGTAGTCCAATTCCGGCCGCATTATTTCCCGCTAGCCAATTTGGCGCAGACTAGTTCCATTCCTCCTAGTCCCAGTTGGGCCTAGTGACCAGGGTCCACGCTAGAAAAAGCCAAGAGTAGCCTTGCCCAATCAGGCATTCTCTAGTAATGGAGGATCGCCCAGTCGGGGTCCTTCAACTGAGACAAATGCGGGATCCTCCCCAAATCCTGCTCCAGCCGAGGTGCGGTTGCTTTCCCCGTCTTCCGTCGGCTGTCAGCCATTTGGAAAGATTCACCCTATCAACTGGTTCTCTTTCTGAGACATTCTCACACCATCAGAGGCTGGTCTGCTGCTTTCTGTTCCATGCAGAAGTCAGGCGCACTGGCAAATTCTCCCAGACCTGCAGTCAATGGCCGAGTGAAAACTAAACATAGCAGCAAAGCAAGCAGGGAGGAGAGGGGCCATGTTACCTGACAGGCTAATTCGATATTGCAACCCGCCAACGAGGGTTCAGACAGAAACTTAGTCTTATCTGCTATCGTACTGTATGGAGCTTTGCTAGATGACTTTCCAATCGGCTAGTGGTAACCAACTCGACCGGCCTCTCTTCCGGCGTTTCTTGTCTTGCTCCCTCGCCTCTGTCTTCAACCTGTTTTGCCCCGTCGTTATCATTCTCCCGGTGGGTAAGAGTCATACGGTCAATGGGACTGGAGCCGCAGACTTTCTCAGGATTGCTCCAGTCATGGAAAGGCAATAAGAAAGATGGAGACTAGCCACTCACTTAGCTCTTGCCAACCCGGCGTGGCATTTGATGGCTGGTTCCAGAAGAGGCCGTCTGGAGCTTAGGGAACTCATAGCGCCGCCACCCCAAGCTGACCTCGCGTAACGGGCGAAAAGTAGTACGGTGTGCGTGAAAACTTATACCGAGCTTTGAGCGCCAGCTTTTCACTATTTATCGCTTGCCCTCTTGGCTTCCTGTTTTCTTTTTTTTCTCGGTTCTCCCTCTGGCCGTCCTGAGATCTTGCTATTTCCTATTTGAGTTTTCTGTCATTGATATCACTAGCAGCTCAGTCCATCATATTGGCCGACTACCTGTCCAAAACTCTACTACACTTCAAGCTGCCTAAGACTGAACACGTATGTGCGAGGCTATCATATCTCTCAGGTTCCTATTCATTAGTTACAGAGATCAACACTGACATCTTGCATCATCACCACAGTTCAAGGTCCTTCCATCTATCCTTCAAATTCCGCTGTCGTACCCACCGCTTTTACGCCACTCGATATGCTTCTCCTCCGTCCCCTGATTGCTATCGCCTCCGTGGCTGGCCTGGTCCTCTCGCAAAACACCTCCTCCATTGACCCAAATAGCGTCCCGATTGATACAAGAAGTATGTTTTCTCTGCAGGTAATACTATGGTGCCAACTGCCTCATCTGACTGTGTAACGATAGAGCAATGGTGTCAGTCTCAGACCTCGTCATGCCCATTACTCTGTTATCAGTTGCCAAACACATCGGGGTCACCCAAAGAAAACACATGCGACGCTGTAAGTGCGAGTAATAAACCTCTCTCACTTCATCTTGACTGATGCCATGGACCCTGAATGCAGAAAACACTCCAATACCAATGCATCTGCAGCAATGGCCTGAGCCCCAACTCGTCTCAGTACTCACAGACCATCCCATACTTCATTTGCACTGAAGAGAATGACGAATGTGTCACCCAATGCAATGGTGACTCGAGCTGCCAGTCAGATTGCCGGTCTCAGCACCCCTGTGGTGCACAGAACCCCAAGCGTGTAAATGTCACGTCTACCGCTGCATCCACTACTGCCGCAGCCACAACTTCCCTTCCACCTTTCACTGGAGTCCCTGACAAGGGAGCAGCAGCCAGGCCATCGACTGATCTTGGTCAGGTATACGGCCTGGTTGTAGTTGTGGGAGCTTTCCTGGCCGGGTTTACGACGTTGCTTTGAGACAAGGCTGCAAGTCAGTATGAAGTTAATGTCATCTCTGCCAAGTCCTGGGTTGGAACCTTTGTAATGGGGCATGCCAGATTTATGTAATAATCACTTTTCGTTATGTGTTTTGTTGATCTCAGAAATATTCTTCTATTTTACTACGAGCGCTCGCAGCTAATTGATGGAGCGTCTTGCTTCTTGTCTCGAAGTCGACACAATTTATGTAATGGGAATCCATGAAGGCATCCACTCTTTACAGCTCTTAGAGATACTTTGGTTCATGTGTGCTACATTTGGAGGCACTAGTGCGCAGTGTCTGATGTTCAATGAAGATACAAGCAACTTACCTGGCTGGGAGCGAAAAGCTGCAGGGAATGGTATCTCCGGATAGCTATGTTGCGAGACGAGCGACTGACACTATTCCCGAGGGCGAAGATCACGAGTATACTTGGGGCATTCGTTGCTTTTAAATCATAATGCAACAGATGGTGAAGCCAGAGTGACTCGATTTTGAGTGGTGATATCCTACACGATGCTCTTTGCAATTCTTGCACCCCTTGAAGAAGAGTTCTCTCACCTTCTGCTTTTAATGTAATACTATCCTTCGCGTGATGGTAAGCCGAGGTGAAAGTGAATATCTGGGACGAGTTTTACTCTACTTTTACTTGATTTTGTTTACCACAAAGTTCTAACTTCTGTGCATGTGTTTCTTTGAGGGGTCAACAACATCCTCACCCAGAGCACCAGCAACCTCTCTCCTTCATGTACCGGCAGCAGTTGTCCCCGCTTCTTTCCTCTCTTGCATTCACTCTTGCGTTCAGCAACTTCTTTGACGACTCACAACACTGGAGGGTTCCTGAGGGTGGCCAGGGCAGGTCAGCCCAGTGTTCCTGCCACTTTGGTCAACATGAAACCCATTCACTTCTTCCTCTGAAAAACTCTTCCTTGTGCTGATTCTTTTCTCACTCGGGGCCGACCTTCTACTTCTCTCACACATCGAAAGGAGACGTTCCATGTTCTTCATCTCCGGCTACCAGTCCTGTCTTCTGTTACCTCTTGTGTCTGAGAGCCATCCCTCATCTCTGGCAACTACTATACAACTACTTTTCCTTCTTTCTTGAGTTTAAGAGAACGAGCTTTGTTTCTCAGGGTGCTCTTTCTCTTGTTCTGTTTCCAACTACATATTTCACGTCTCTCGTTGTGATCTCGCTTTCTACAAACAATATGCCAGGCGATCGTGTAAGAGCAGTCCCCATTATTAACTACCGTGCTGGGAAGAGATTAGGATATTATTTTAACAGCCAGTTTAGGGATCCCGTTTCTGTCGTTTCTGCTTTAGACAGGGACACGAAGATACCCAATGTCATTATCTCACCCTGTGCCGTGGCCTTTATGAACTAGTACGTTGAACTGGTTTGTCATAGTGCGACTACTAATCCTTGTGCATTCTCTCATGGTCTCGAACCGACCTGGAAGCAGAATAGGTCTTACTGAAACTCGGGGGGCGCTCGACAGACTGGCCAACCGTCGGATAAGAAATAGACGCCGAAACATCAGACGCCGCGAACGTGCCCGAGCTCAGATGACGAATGTCGTAAGTACTCCGTGAGCTTATTGTCCACATTGCACCGTGCTGAGCACTTCCGCTCAGGCGAGGCGTGGAAATCATGCCATGAATATTGTATGTACATGCAGCTATTTGGCGGTGGCTAGCCATGAACTTATGCTAAGACGTCCGATATAGAGCCGCCGTGGTCCTGTTCATGCCGCTGCGACATATCAGAGGTAAGATGCATAACCGTTTCTTGGGATATGGCAACTGATGAAATAAGGGTTCCATCTACTACGGTTAGACAGCCTGTTGTTCCCGCAGCTGCGTAGGTAGCCCATGATCCTTATCCTTATGTCCTCACTAACAAAGCTGGTTAAGACCGACCTCTGGCAATGCAATTGCTCAAGCCGCTCCGGGGGAACAAGTGACACTGTCTGTGCTTCACCCACCGAGAGTACCTGTCCACGAGCCAGAGCGTGTATCATCAGTCGCGACTGCGACCAGGTATGTTGTTTCGAAGCTACGCTACTCGAAGCATATTTATCTGACTGACTTATCAGTGACACGGACGTAACTATGGGATTCGAGTAAGTATAATACGAATTCTAGGTGTTGATCTCCGCAATAACACGCCAGTAGAGAACCCAACATCGGTGGCATGGCGGTAGATGCTAGGTAAGCCGCCATGTGGAGTATGGCCGAGAATTTTACTGATTGCAATCGTCTATAGTCAACCACAACCTGTCGATGATCTCATCAGTTTCGATACACTCGACACAGCTGAGGACGAAGTCGTGGTGATATCCAGCCATACTAGTGATGTCGTCGAAAGCCACTGTGGAGAACTATTCACGATTGTGTAACTGGGCCTGTGGTTACTACTAAGTACTACGTTGCTATGGTAAAGACACGTGTGCCTGTATCAGATCTATCAGATTTCGCTGACGCTCTGTGTTTGTCATGAATGCCGTGGAGTGTTTTTATTGCTTTGGGTCGAGATATGAGCTAATCTCGAACCTATTGGTCACGAAGAATTGCTTTGAACCACTGAAGGGGATATGTGAACCAAGTTGTATCTAGACCAGAAAAGCCTGAGAGGAGTTACCACATTGTGCGTGATTATCTAGGTACGACCAGTATTTATGTAGTAACTGGAGACAGTCAGTATGCAGGAGCTACTGGCCTGATGGGGGCCTGAGGAATAGAGCAAGGACAGCTATAAGGCGGTCAGTAGGGCGGTGAATACAGCCCAGGCAGCTACGTCGATAGATCGGGCCAAATGATGCGGCCGTCGGTGACCTTTGCGATAGATCATCTCACCCGCACATCCCACCCTGCCGGCTTGCATGCTGCTATTTTGATTTGCAGATTGCCCTCCATACTGCTTCGTGGCCGACCTTGCTGGGTCACCATCTACGAACTTGAACGAAGCCGTTGTCTGACATCCGCGGACGCCTACGCCTCGAAGACCCGCTTGTTCTCCACTTTTCCTCTACCTGTGCGGCGTTATCGCACTTGATTGACTGCATTTCAACATCAGGAGTCTCGTGGATACTCGACTACACTGCCGGAGACTACGGACAGGACAAGCCTCTCCTTTCGACTCGCTACTTTTCCCATACATCGTTCTATAATACCTCGCGTGTCAGTAGCCGAAAGCCGCACGGAGCTGACGACATGGAGTACATGCAATCAGACCCTTTCTATGGGGCTGTTCCAGCTCAAAGTGCTGGGTCAGTCACTGGCGCCGGGGGTGTGGATTTGGAGTCATTGAACGGAAATGTAGCAGGTCCTATGGTGAAAGTAGATGGTATGCTGCCTCTATCGGATTGATTCAAAGGAATGGCAATGAATAACCCTCGTCTTCCAGATCCGCCCAAGTTTGAACTCGAGTCATATATTGCGAACTACACCGGTATGGTTATGCCTTTGATTACAGGCGCTTCGTGCTGTGGCTAACCCGCTCCTTACTTCTAGGCCGGACCAGATTTAATCGACTGTTCCTCATAGGCACATGCTCCACTTATCTCTCTGTCGAAGCATTGAAGGCTGCAGTTGCAGAAGCCAAAGGCGGCAGGGATGTTTCGAGATACGAAAACGCTGTTCGGGCACTTGCCGAAATTGCACCTAGTGACCCAGAGGCAACTCTTGATAAAAATTGGGTGGATCATATGAAGAAGTCTGTCAAGGCGGAAACAGATCGGCTAGAGCACGAGCTTAGAGGTTACAAGAACAACTTGATCAAAGAGAGCATAAGGGTACGTTACAACGTATTTGGCAGGGCGACAAACTCTTTCTAATTGCTTTATAGATGGGCAACGAAGACCTCGGGCAACATTACAATCAGATAGGCGACCTCGTGTCGGCTTCCAAAGCATACTCTCGTATGAGGGACTATTGCACCACACCAACCCATATTGCGTCGATGCTGTTCAAAATTATTAATGTTGCAATTGAACGCGGCGACTGGCTTAGTGTGCAGTCGAATGTGCACCGGCTACGCAACCTGCAATCGAAGCCAGAGGAGCAAGCCAAAAACCAGCCCAAGATGTCTGCTGCGCTGGGTCTCTCCCAACTACACTCCGGTGCATACGTGGATGCTGCCAACAGCTTCTTGGCCACCGAGCCGAGCTTAGGGGACTCTTACAACGAAGTGCTCACCTCAAACGACGTTGCAGTATACGGTGGGCTTTGCGCCCTGGCATCAATGGACCGGAATGAGCTACAACGTCGCGTGCTCGACAACAGCTCGTTCCGCAACTTCCTTGAGCTGGAGCCGCACATCCGCCGGGCGATCTCATTCTTCTGCAACTCTAAATTCCGAGCCTGTCTCGAAATCCTAGAAGCCTACAAGGTCGACTACCTTCTCGACGTCCATCTACAGCGCCACGTCAAGACACTATTCACCCGCATCCGCACCAAGTCTATCCAACAATATCTCGTACCATTCAGCCGCGTGACCCTCGAATCCATGACGAAAATGTTCGCCCCGGGAGTCATAGGCGGCCAAGCCGACCCTACGGACTCCAACTCGCCCTTCGTGCAGGAACTCATCGAACTGATTCAGGATGGTACCCTAGACGCGCGCATCGACTTGGAAAAGAAGGTGCTGGTCTCCAACCAGGTCAACCTGCGTACTGACGTCCAGCAGTCCATCCTGGACAGCCTGGATAACTACATCCGCGAAGCACATATTCGCGTTCTGCGGACCAACATTATCCAGGCTGGACTGGAGGTCCGCGCAGATGAGCGACGACCGAAAGACGACCGGGGAAAGGGTGGGGAGGCATTTGGCAATTTCCTTCCTCGTGGTCCGGGAGTCATGTAATGCTAGCCAGCCAGTCGGCCAGTCGGCCAGTAAATGAGATACGACAAAGATTATTAAAGCACCATTAGCCACAAAATTCCTCGTCTTGTACGACAACCTCGAATGGTTCACGTAAGGATGTACATCAACCGTTATTTATTTCTTACCTTGTCAATAAGAGGAAACCTAACAGGTGAGATAGATCACTCGTAGCAATCAGTTTCTTGGAGAACAAGCCTTTCTTCTTGTCCTCCAATTAGAGGTTGTAGTCTAATAAGAAGATTGATTACCTCCTATTCGTTGGGGCCCTGGATCTTTCTAGAGCCGGAGGATTCCGAGAACACCCCAAATAAATCATGATTAATAGTATTAGTAAAGCCTCCATCCTGTCGGTTCTGTGAGCAAGTAGGTCTAGTTTGTATTCACACTCTAGTTCTGCACGTGTATAGATAGTGTGTATGCTCCCGTCTATCGTCTCGTCGTTGTGGTTTGCTGTATATTAGTAGTACTAGTACTAGGGAGAAGTCTAGGACATGCTGATGTTAACTTAGACCTTAATACACCCCATTATCTAAGTATTCATGCTACAGAGCGCAGCTATACCTACTTACTAAACATCTTGTCTCAATCTGTATGATAATGTTTGACATAATAATATTGAGTGATTAGAATCATAATAAACACATCAATAAGGGGAATAGTAATAAATAGATAGACATAAAGAATAAAAAAGAGAGAAAAAGGAAAAATCATTCTTCACTTGTGATACATGAATCAAACCACGCCTCATTTTCCATCCAGCTCGCGCGCGCAGGTCTAGATGCAGAAGTTTATATGCTGATATAGTGTATGTGTGTATATCCTTCCTGATATACTATAATACTCGCTTTGCTTCCAAATCACGAACACCACTCACATCAACTTCCTCAACTCAATTCATATATATATATATGTATGTGAATGAGCTAGCTTAAGCCATAGCCAAAGCAACCATCATGGCAGCACCACCGGCAACCCACTGGCTAGCACCAGTAGCGAACGCACCACTGTCACTGGTGGTAGTAGCAGCGCCGGTAGAGGAGGCAGAAGAGCCAGAGGCATCGCCCGTAGCAGAGGCGGTGGAGCCACTACCGGTGGCAGAGCCAGTGGCAGAGGCGGAGACAGTGGAGGTGATGGTGATGGGGACCTTGTTGAGCTGAGTGGTGGTAACACCGCTGGAGGAGGAAGTCTGAGTGTCAATGTTGAAGGTGAAGGCGCAGGAGGCGACAGTGGTGCCGGTGAAAGCGCAAGCGGCCTCTTCGGAGCTGTTGTTATACGTAAGTATACATATGGTTTACGGGTTTGGGGTCACGCATGTGGGTTAGCTTACAAGGCGGTACCGGAGGTAGTAAAGGCCCAGGTGCTGCTGCCGACAGTCAGAGTCTCGCCGCTGTCGGGGACATTGCAGCTATCGTTGAAGTTATCATCGTCATCGTCCGAGCTGGAGGCGGTGGTAGCACGCTTGACGACGGCGGCGCTGGTGGTTGCGGCGGTGGCAGCGGGAGCGCTGGTCACGGAGCCGCTGGCTGTGGCGGGGCAGTTGATGACCAGAGTGGTGAGGTCGCCGCCAGTCTGGATAGGAGTTAGATCTGGGGAAGTATAGGACAGAGAAGAGGACGTACGGTTCCAATCAGCTTGGCGTTGTAGTTCTCACCGCTGGCGGAGGAGGGCCAGAGGACCGAGACGACATCGTCAGCGACAACGGTGGAGGCAGTGGCCAGGAGGGCCAGAGAGGTAGTCAATTGAAGACGCATGGTGTGTGATTATATGGTTTAATTAGGGAGGAGTGTATATAGAGTTGTATAGATGAGGGATGGAGGAGAGAGGGTAAGACTTGAGAGAAAGAGGAGTAAAAGGAGGATGGAAGAATTGATTTGGATTGAGACTGTCTTGGAACATGCTCGCTGGGCATGACGAGGTAAATAAAGGCCCGCCAGAATGGGGTCCAGGGCAATGGGGGCGAAATCCATATTTTTTTCTGTCCCCTGGCGTGTTGGAAAGGCAGACGGGCAAATGGCGGCGAGGCTGAGAGGGATGGAGATGGACAGGGTCTGGCATCAAGCGCTGTTGGGGGCGCAGTCAAAACACCGCAGTGCAATTGCCCAATTGGCCATGGTCAGGAAGCAGACCCTCTCGCACTAATTGACGCTGAGAGGCTAACAACTCAGCCTAGAGAAAGAAGAACCTGTAAGCGCTGACGGACGGAAGTTCTTGGATGTGGTGGTGGTGGTGGTGGTAGTGGTTGTTGTCTGGTGGAACTGCTGATGGAGCCGGGGAAATTAGATGGATCGAGGATCTCCCTCAAGGTCATGGCAAGTGTTTCTTCCGCACCCACCATCATCAAGAGGTGATTCGATTCTACATGAGTCTTCCTTTTTGTTCAATCTCAACCTCCTGATCTCTCACTGAAACGGAGGCACGGCAGCCAAACTGGGGCCGGACGTGGGGGCCGAAATTCTTCGTTTCAAAGCGCTGCAGCAAATACTCATTAGAGATGTTTAGTCGAACCGAGCCACGGTAGACTACATGCGCCAGCTGCGGCTTATTATTGTTCACGCTAAGCAAACCCATACTAAACATTCTAGCAGCCAGGCTAATGAATAGAATCCCTGTCTTCCACACAAAGAAACACACAACCATGGAGACGCTACTACACACCGAACCCAGCTGGTCCAGCGGATCTTGAGTGCCCAATGAATCCACTCACCAGGCCTGCCAGCAGCAATGCCCCATTGAACCCAGCCATGATGTAGAACGGTGCTCCCGACGACAGCACATCGAACAAGAGCCCACCCAGCTTGGTCAAGAGCAGGATACCCGCTCCACCGTACAGGGAATACACCCCAGCGATTGATCCCTTCAAGTGCGAAAGGTGCCGCTCTTTCCGGCCGGGACGATGGCTCATGAGAGGTCGGTCTTCTCCGTGCTCCTCTTCCTCGTCGTCGACTGGGTTGTTCTCATTGTTGTTCTCATTTTCATCCTCATCCTCACCCTCATCCTCGCTGGGTTCACTCGGGGTACTCCATAACTGGTCGTCCATCCTCCCTACTTCGCTCAAACTGAGAATGCCGCTGCTCAGTACTGATAAACTGCAGACAATCGCTCCAATCTGGCTGATACCAACGAGGCCCATCACTACAAATACACCGGGGCTGCCATACTCCCCATTGAATTCCGGACTCGGTAGCAAGGCAAAGGTGGTATAGCCCACAAAGCCTGCAAAGCAAGCTGCCAAAAGCGGCACGTGACGGCGCCGCGATCGCTCCGACAGATAGCCGAAGGCTGGCGCTGCAAGCAGCGCGACTAGCTGAGAGACCCCTGTCAAAATCGAAGCGAGCACGTAGGCTTTATGGCATGATTTCTTTAAATCGCCAGGGTTCTCAGCCTCGCCATCTTGGCTCCCGCACAGCCCCGACATGCGATAATAGTGGTTAACAGCGAGCGGGATGAACAGCGAGATCCCCACGGACGACGCACGCGCCACGAAACCGCCCAAGTAACCTAGAAATATATCTGAATTCCGGAACCCCAAGGCGAACGCAATGCCCAGCTGCTCGAGATAAGGCAACTGGAATTTGCGAGCATACGAACACGCCTCGCCGCTATCCGGCGTCCCGCGCCGGCGTGCGGACCATAACACGCTCCATGATTTGCCCTCTTCTCCGGGGAGGTTCCTCAGCCCAAAGAAACAGAGGATACTGATAACTAGAGATACCGCAGCCACGAGATAGTAGCTGCGCTGGATAGCTTCTGCTGGTGAGAGACCCCATTGCTGGAACCGAGCTGGAAGGGGCAGGAAGACAACGAGAGCAACGAGCGCACCACATCCCGCACACATGCCTACAAATCCAGCCAGTCGGGAGGATGAGCTCGTACTCGTCCGAGAGTCTGATGTAGATTTATGCTGTGACGACGAGTGTGAGCCGGCTACGGCTGGAAGAACCGCCGTGACCATCGTTGATACTGCGGCGCCTCCAAGACTGAACAACAGTCTTCCCAGGAGTAACTGGGGGTAGACATTCTTTGCCTGGACGAAGAGTACCAAGGCAAGAGCCACGATAGCATAGCCGGTAGTGCAGACCTGTGTAAAAGATACAATGTATGAGAAAATTTACAAGTGAACTGGCCTTTGGGGCGGGAATGTAGCAACAACGGATGAGCGCTTACATGACGGACGCCGATGCGATCCGACAGCACTCCCCACAAGGGGCAGGCAACCAGGGCCAGCAGTTCGTCGGCAAAGCCCAAGGTTCCGACCGCATCACCTTCTCCATTACGGAGTCCAATTAATTCCGTGACGACAAATGAGATGGACGAGTTGATGAAGACTAGGAATGCGATCGAGAATGGACACACGCCAAGCAGGTAGGTCCATGTTTGCACGCGGCTGGCCGTGAATAGTGTCCGTGGAGAAACCATGGTGAGATAGACAGGGGAGAGAGAACTTTAGCTCATTCCGGCTTGAATGAAAGTCCAAACTAATGGAGCGGTTCTGTCGAGCTGTTCGGGTTTTATTCAGAGCCTGCCCAGTATTTATTTATACTGTCTGATTGATATGATCTGGGCTTTTCATCCATCGAAGCTGATGATCGGTGACCGATGACGGAGCTGCCTTCACACCGGATGCCGGCCAGCTCTCTGTCACCTGATCAAGTGGAGAGGAAGACGAGTAACACGTCAATAATAAGCTTCGAGAAGCTTTCAGACTTCTCTACACAAAGTTCGTATCTTGTCTCGGGACTTGCATTATCCTAACAGATCCCATCATTCCCTTTCCCAATTGTAGATAAGTCGATCATCAATTCATCCAGCATGGAGAAGAACGAAGAGCAAACGCCGAAAGAAGCAATAGACAGTCAGCTGCCAAGGCGGTGACTCCAGGATTGGTAACATTACGCCGTTCCAGGTACCGGGCGATACCGAGTAGTAGATTAGCTGTCCAGAACATCTCCATTCATTCATCCATCCATCCATCCATTCTTCCCCCCATCCTGACTCTTTTCTCCACGCGATCTTCCTCATCTTCCTTCCCTCTCAGTGATTTCTGTTTCCCCCCTTCTTTCTAAACGTCCTATCAATGTTCTTTTAGAGAGTTCACCAGCATAGCTGCTACACCCTTGTTCATGACAGCGGGCATTGCGCCCACCCTCCTCTCCCCATCGCCATGAGATTGGCCGTGTATGCTGGGGTATGTCGCTCAGAAATTGCTCCGTAGTAGATCCAGTCTGACTTGTCTCCATAGGCCTCAGCCGCCCTGGCCACTGGCGTCTTCCTAAAAGCGCTGCATCAGAGAGCTAACTTCTATGCTGCATGCGTATACCTCTCGCAGAGCAGTGCAAATCTCATGGTAAGCTTTCCCCGCCCCCGGTTCCAACAAGGCCCCCCTCGGCGCGCACCCAACGTTGGAAGCGTCCCGATTCTTCTATATCATCGCTAACGTGGTTTTGCTTAGATTTTGATGAACATTAGCCTGTTAGCGGTCGGGTTCTTTTTATTCTGGCTTCAGCGTCTCCTCTACGGACCCCTTCGACCCATCGAAACGGAACAGCTCTACGAGAAAGCATGGTTCGCCGTAACAGAGACATGCTTGGCAATGACGATTTTCAGAGGAGAGTTAGGCGGTTGGTTCCTAGTCATGTTCGTCTCATTGCTGGTTGGAAAGGTCTGGGGCTGGATCGGCGAGGGTCGGGTCGAGTTTCTTGAGCAACAACCCCCAGCGAATCCGCGATTGTTCCACATCCGACTTGCAGCCTCGCTGCTCCTTTCAGTTCTCTTCAACTCGCTCATGCTGAGATACTGCGTCCTTACCGTTCTCGAACAGGCACGGCCCGATATGATGGTCATGTTCGGCTTCGAATTCGCCGTTCTTACCATCCTCTCCAGCTCGACTGCCGCCCGCTACGTCATTTCATTGGTCGAGATCTACATTACCCATGTCCAGATGAAGGCTAAAATCGAGGAGCGCCGTCGCGAAATTAGAGATGCCAGGGAGGAGTCGCTGCGCCAGTACGCCGAGGCGGGGGAGACTGGGGATGCTCCCAACCTGCCGGATGAAAACGATATTGACGAGATGGAATTGGATGTGCCTGGGTGGGAAGAAAAGGGCCGCTGGATCTTCTACCTCGACCTGCTTACCGACTTCCTCAAGCTCACCGTATATCTCACCTTTTTTGCCATCCTATTTACATTCTACGGTCTTCCATTACATATTCTGCGCGACGTCGTCGTTACTATTCGGTCTTTCGGACGGCGCATCATGGATTTTGTGCGCTACCGCAACGCTACTCGCGACATGAACGAACGCTATCCCGATGCCACCGCCGAGGAAGTTGCCCGTGAGGAGGTTTGTATCATTTGTCGCGAAGAAATGACCCATTGGCACCAGCCGGCGGGCGCGCAACAGCGCAACCGGGTCTCTGAGCGGTTGCGCCCAAAGAAACTGCCTTGTGGTCACATTCTACACTTTGCCTGTCTTCGGAGCTGGCTTGAGAGACAACAGAACTGCCCCACCTGTCGACGGCCAGTTATTGCGCCACCTCGGGCCCGGGGGGCTGGCGACGGTGGTAACCAGAACAATGCTGGTGCACAAAACATGGCAGCTGGCAACCAAGCTAGAGATGGACAAGCAGACGGACTACCCAGAGCGCGTGTTTACCAATTTGGGCCTTTCAGAGTTGGTTTCGGCGCGGGCAGGGGTGACCTCTTCCACAATCTTCACCAGCAGATCCATCAAGGCAATGCGCCCGTGCCACAGGCCAACAACGTCAATGCCCCGAATGCCAGGCAGATTGGCTTCGGGTTCGGATTCGGACGGCCTCTTCCAGTGCCAGCCCCGCACGCTGCCCCCAACCCTGCCTCGAACGTGGCCAACATGCAAGCCGAATTGCAGCAGATGGAGCAACAGATTGTCCAGGAGATCGAAACGCTGCGTGTCACTGCCGACCAGCTTCATCTGGTGCGGTTACTGCAGACGGAACTCCAGCGGCTTCGCAATCTCCAGGCTAATCCCACTACCCCACAAAATATCGCGTTCCAGAACTCTCCGGCCGTTTCGTCCTCGACTTCTTCTGTTACTATGCGCCGTCAGTTCATCTCGGACCCACAGATGCCCGCCATGAATGCCGGAGATAGCCGACTTCCCGAGGGACTGAGCCTCCCTGCAGGATGGTCTCTCATCCCCCTTCACTCCCCAGAGCAGGGTACCAGTCAACCAACAGAACAACGTCCCACCCCTACTGTTCCTGAAACTGAAACGACTCAAACGTCTGACCCTACATCAGACTCTCAGGTCCCTCTCCCGACAGCAACTGTTCCAGCTGCCAGTCAAGACAGTGAGCCTGCGGCAGCCACTGAGCCCTCCACGTCCCAGGATCTGCCTAACTGGCAATCGGGAGCAACATCGACGGCTACTGGATCGGGCGTGGAACCACTCTCCCAACAATGGACTGATTTAGCGCCCGAGACCCAGATGGACGGCGAGAGCACTACCGCCGACGGCATTGACGGCGCGAGTCACGCCGAGGAATCGGACTCGGGCTCGAAGGGGAAAGCACGGGTAGCAACGGTGGAAGATGTAGTTGATGATGAAACGTGATGATGGGTTTCCTTGACTCTTTCTCCTCTCTGCGATCTTTTTCCTTTTTTCTCTTTCTCTTTCCATTTCCATACCTGGTGTTTCTATCTTGGTTCGATGTATTATCATCTCATTTGGTGTTGTCCCCATCTTATTGGGAAGTTGTCCATTTTACCGGCGTTTTGAAGCGGCTCCCACTCATACCCCATTGCCTGTATGTTGAATTCCATGGAACTGTGGCTCATGCGTGGTCATTTTCATCTACTACACCAGTGCCGGTTCATTCTACTTTTGCTGCCCTCTCAACCCTTGTCCAGCGAAATAGGAGGGTCTCTAATAACCAGGTGTATTTCTGTACATATTAGAAGCATGATCGTGACAATTCCTTGGCGTGAATTCCAACTCATTGTAGACTACGAGTGCTACGGAGTAAGGTAGACAGTAATGCATGGAGAATTGTACCCACCTTGGCTGGGAATGCCAAGTGGTTACTCCATAGTTACTATAGTTAGTAGGTGCAACATTACATAGCGTCTGTCAGAACTCTAGCTAAGATTGTACTCCCTACTATCCATATTCCATCTACTTTTCTTTTGAGTTAGCACCCAGGCTATAAGCACCGTGCATCAGATCGATCACAAGAATGTCTCGGGGAGGCAAAATCCGATCCAGGGGCAGCGACAGCCAGCCTCCAATCATAATGGCGGGCCAACATCCAACCTGCGCCCGTGGGGAACAAGCGTGAATTTCTCCGGGATGCGAAAAAGCAGGAGTTCCAGCCAGACCCGGTGGCCGGTAACCCTTCTGGGGACAGAAAAGGCTGGTTTCCGGTGCTGGATCACATCTGGGTCTCTCGATCTGGTATCTATACTTGACTCTCGACCATTCTGCACGCTGGGAACCAGGAATTGGGCTCATTCGACAGGGCCCAAGATCGTCGTCATCAGCGCTGACGCCAGCTCCGCCGCCGCCCGTGTCTCCCACCCGCTCCTGCGCCATCTTTTTGCGTATGCCTCCTTCTAGCTGGCTTGTCCGACCAATCTGTTTCCCTCGTCCAGTCCCTAGTCGCATCAATTCGCCCTACGAACGGCCCTCGTTCCTCCCTGCCCCTCTCTCTTTGGCTCGTGGAACCTTCGACCGGCTGTGGCCGCGCATCTCGCCCTTCGGTTCTTGGAGTTTCGCGGGGATTTGACAACTGTTCCCGACTGTGCAATATCTCCAATTCCTATCCTTCCATGGCTTCTTTGTGTCTTCTGTAGTGTTTGGATTCACGGTAGGTGATTTCTCCTTGCTTTTGTGCTGGGCATAGATGCTGCTAGACCTTGCGAGCGACTCCTTATGCCTGGCTTCATATCTCAAACAAAACCTCATCGCATTCGCGCCGTTGCTGATTGAGCTCTTTCGTCCAATCGCAGTTCATCTACCTTTATTTTGTCTCCCTTTTCATACCAACATATCCCGCTATCTTCCATGATTTCCTCGCGCCGGGCTGTGCCCCTTTTTGGCTTTGCCTTCATCCTTTTCATTCTCCTCGCCATCCGAAGCCTCTCGTCACAATGGGAACAAGCGACGCAGGTCGTCGGTTTGGGTGAACTGGCCGCGACTCCGTCCCCATCGCCGTCAGTCCGCTTCAATGTTACCAGGGTGCACGAAGAGCCTGCGATTCGGACGCCGTATGCACCCAAGCCACACTTCATCCCAGGCATCCCCAAGCCCTCTGGGTTAACATACACGAAGACGCTCGTGGTGCCCAAGACATCCGATGAAGATACCAGCTGGATGGAGGTTGAACTTCCGGAGTGGCAAACAGCGATTTATGAGGTTGATGACCCATCAGCACCTCTGCATCCTCCGAAGAATAAGGGTCACGAGGTGATGGTCTACCTGAGTTACATCATCGAACATTATGACAAGCTTCCCGACGTCGTCGCTTTCATGCATTCGCATCAGTTCGCTTGGCATAATGATGACCTCTTTGCCGGGGATGCAGCTGATCTTCTGCGCCGTTTGAATCCCGCCTGGGTGGTCCGCCAGGGCTACGTGAATCTGCGATGCACGTGGAGTCCCGGTTGTCCTGCCTGGTTGCACCCTGGCACGCTGGTGGAGGATCAAACGAAGCAAGAGGAGGTCATGTTGGCCAGAGCTTGGGGGGAAATCTTCCCCGATGACCCGATCCCGGAAGTCCTGGCACAACCCTGCTGCGCTCAATTCGCCGTGTCGCGTGACCGTATCCATGCCATTCCCAGAGCCCGCTTCGTATATTTCCGTGACTGGATGCTTCGGACGGAGCTCAGTGACTACATTTCCGGTCGAATTTGGGAGTACTTGTGGCACGTCGTTTTCACTGGAGAGAATGTTTACTGCATCAAGGAACACATCTGTTACTGTGATGGCTTTGGCATCTGCTTCGGTGGCGAAGAGGAGTACGACGCATTCCGAGGCCACCATGCGAAGAAGTCTGAACTCGAGGAGCAATTCAAGGGATGGAACGTTCGGGCCGACATGATCGAGCTGACCCGCATGAGTGGGACGCTGGGCGAAGAAAGCCACCTGAGTTTCCCGCAGCCAGGCGAGGACCTGACGCTCGCAGATCAAATCGACCTGGAGGAGCTGCTGATCAATGAATTGGTGGTAAATGCTACGGAACGTGGCAAGGACCCTGAAGCACGCGCCCGCGAAGTTGGAAGACCTTGGAAGGAGGGTGATGGATTCTAAGTGTTCTCTCCATTGAGACGCCTAGGATTTATTGACGATGCTTGTCCTTTCTAATTTTCTTTGTTCAAACCCCAACACCTCATAACCTCTCGGTTCTTGGCCGCGAGGGACTATATACCACCATCTTCACCTTCTTGTGTTCATATTTGCCTTTCTGGGGTTCAGGTGGCATGCTGTGATGCCTGGTATAGATACGAATTTTCTCTTCCATTGTGTTTGATATGTTTTCTTGGCCTGCGGTACTTGGGTGATGTGCTGGGATTATGCCAGATCTTGTGATATCCATTGCAGCTAGGACCAGTTTGGCAGGCTCCAAATTGAATAATGAAAAGCTTTTATATAACTATCATAGACAGACAGTGCATATGATATCGTAGCCATTCTAAATAGTAGACGACTTAACTGCCTTCACTTGTCAGCGTGGACAGTCCTATTGATGCCTGGCTACCCAGGCATGAATCATGTGACCCGGATCCACCGCGGCTAACTGGGTTGGGCAATGTGCAACAGCGTCTTCCCTGCAGAGTTTGCACTGTCTGCTCCTCCTTCAAACCAGCCAAACAGCGTCATCGGGTTTAACAGTTCTATCTATACAAACTATATCGCCATCCTCACCTTTTCGCGCGAGACTTTGTTGACTCCTGTTGACAGCTGTGGATTTGCTATTCACTCACGCGCCTCGTTCGCCGCAGGCGACCGTGTTTTCCTCCCTGCCCGGGAGCCCCGGGTGTCCTTTCTAGAAGCTGCGTTGTTTGGCAGACTGTCAACAAGCACCGTCGACGCTCACCCGCACGCGACGGACGCTCCAAAGCGCGGTCCACGAACTACGAGCTGACGGCTCGCTATTTCGGAGTGTTTACATTGCCGTCAGGTCCTGTCAAACAGGTTTTGGCGCTTGGTTGCCACATAGGAACAACTAATCGAGCTTGTAGCCTTTCGGGGTTTGTGACGGCTTCGCCGCGCGGCACTTCTGTGATATAGCTCTATTGTCTGCGTGGCTCTCTTAATCTCGCTTTGCTTACGTACCTTGGAGTGATTCCTCGCTTCACGCGTTCACGCGATCCGAACTGAAATGGCATCGACTTCTAATTCAAACCATCAACACCCTCCGTCGACTTCGGCTGCCGAGTTCTCGACCAACCCGACCACCTCCGCCAATGTCGACCCTAACACCCACCTCGCAAACAGCGGATATGCGCCCAGTGAGAATCAGCTAGCTGGCTTAGTGGAGGCAGCCACAGCTGCTGCCGGTCAGGAGGTCTCTGACTGGGCTGCTGCTGCCGCTGTCGCTGCGGCGGCGGGGGCTGCGGGCCTCCAGCATCACCTCGAGTATGGTCCGGATACCCACATCGATGAGGATAGTTTTGCAGATGCAAGTTTTGGTGCTGGAATGGGGACGCAGCGGCAGATGCGCGGACCTGGTTCTACCTCTATGAGTGAACATGGCCAGCCCTCCGGTGGGTTGACCAGGGTGCCAACGAAGAAACGGAAGAGGAATGAGGATGCGCTGGATCCGGCTTTGACTGCGGGAGCTGCCGTCGGCCTCGCTGGCACGCATCATCCTCACCACCAACAGCAGCAGCAGCAACATCACCAGCATGCGCATCACTACGGTGGGGAGGGTCTGGGCGTCGCGCCGTCGCAGTCTCTCTCCGAAGCTCGCGCTGTGGGTCTGCATTCTGCTGCAGCCTTGTTCCGCCAACCGTCGAGTAACAAGAAGTACACCCGTCCGCCGATGTCGAAGTTATTTGCGTCGCTGGAACTTTCGCCGGAAAACTTCTTGCACCTGCAGGCGGCGGCTAAGGCATATATGCTGGATGATCGCCATCCGGAACGGCGTGATTGTGTTGGTCAGCGTGGAAAGGGTGATACCGAGATGGTTAAGTTGCGGTTGTGGAACTGCGTGCGTCACTTTCTTGAGGTCGAAGGCCATGGTGAGCGCTTCTTCGGAGAGAATGTGGTCAACGAGGGCATGGGGCCTAGGACATACATCTGGCCCCGGGACCAGCAGAAGATCATCTCTTTGGTTATTCCTTTGCTGCGCCGAATGGTCACAAACGAGCGCCAGCGGCAGTATGCAGTGGAGACTAGAAAAGGTGGCGGCACAGAAGAGCGACGGAGACGCAAGACAGAGGACAGTCTGCAAAACCTGAACGCGACCACCCCGACAGATGATCAACTCCACATGCATTCACACCACCATCTTCCGGACGATTATACTTCTGCACAGACCGGGCTGGGGGCACCACAACCGCAGCTCGGTACCGGGTCTCAGTTGGATCTGGGTCTGACTGATCTCCTGCTGGATGGTTACTCGGCTGACTGGGATTCGTTCTCGAAGTCGTATGACCTGTACAATCATAATTATGAACTTGACAACCTTTGGTACATCTCAGGTCTCCAACAGCCGGATTGGCGTGGACTGGTCGCTGCCATTGATAGCCACTTCCAGGTCATTCACAACGGCGGCTACGACTGTCCGTCACCATGTGAGGATCAGAATTTGCATCGCATTTTGAATGCAGATGCCACGTCGGACTTGCGTTGGCGTGTTGGCGGGAATTCAGACCGTCCTGCCAGAATTGAATTGTATGTTCCCAACATAACAGTCAACAATTTGTGTATATCACTAACAACCCGATAGTGCCAGCAGCATCACCCGTGACATCTCCCGAATCATCCGAGACAGCCTAGCGACCCAGCACAATGTCCATCAATCCCCCCACAGCCAGGCACCAGTGCCCCAGCCTCAGCCCTTCCCTCCTCCCAATTTCCCGCCTCTCCCCAGCGCTGTCTCCGGAAACACCGGCTCTTCTCCGTCTCCTCCAACCAACGTTTCACTCCGAATCAACATCCTACAGGACGGAAAACGCACGCATCCCCGTTTCGACATTCCCGGAAACCAATGCACCGATCTTGAAACCCTCAAGCAACTCATCTCCCGCAAATTTGCCGGCCAACTGCCAGGTCTCCCATCCGAAGTAAACATGGACTGGGTCTCTCAACTTCCCTGGAAATTCAAGGTCTGGCTACCAGATGGACTGGCCCCGGTGCAAAATGACAACGAGTGGGCAATGGCCCTAGTCTCAGCTAGCAATGTAGACTGGATGGATGGTGATCTCCGAGTTCTGGTTGAATTAGACGGGACAGCATCGGCGCCGTCGTCTTGATTTCACTCTCGCCTTAAATGCATTGAATACTTTTCTGCGATACATCTTGTGTGTGATGGGTTGTCGATTCTGGGTTGCTTTACTTTGGTCGAGTTTGGGTTTGCGTGGAGTTTCGGAGACAGGGCTTTGTTTTCCCTTGTCCTTGTTCTTCTTGCTTTAGAGTTCGTTATCATACCCTGGTGCTGGTGGTTTTGTATTGATGATATGCATTGCATGTGATGATGAGATATGATTCTTTTCCAGTTAGTTCTGAACCTGTTGAGATTTGGATGGTGAGGATGGGGATGGATGCTTGTCTGAGTGTATATGATTTCCTAGGTTGAGTTAGGTACTGGACTGGACTAAGTGTTGGGGGATGATGAGGAGGGGGTCTCTTAAATAATTCAATAAAAAAACATGCAAGATATTCATATATTATATCGTCTTTTGCCCGCTTATTAGATATTTGTGCAGTAGTTGATTTTCTGTGTAAGTAGGGATAATCAACAGGGTATATGATTGCCTACTCTGAACCCTAGTATACACATCGAACTTATAAGAACAGTTATGTGGTTAGTAGTACTTGGGTTGTTTAATCTATACTTCCAGTATTGCCTAAAAGAAAGAAAAGTAGTTAGTAAGTAGTTGTTAATCGCTGATTAATAAATAGTCATTAGTTACCTGATATATACTATTTAGTAGCACCTAAAGTTCTACCTCATGATGCAGTTCATTCTTGTAGATGGAATAGCATACAATTCAGTAGCATTAGTAGTAATCCCTTTACCTCAACAAATAGTGGTATCTGAATACCCCCTCAGCCAAAGTTGTTCGATATCAGACTTCACAAGTCGTACTCAGTAGTCTTCTTATGGTGGTAAATAAACGGTAGTGATAGTACCAGGTGATCACAAGTATCTTCAAGTTGTTCTTGCTAGATAGATTAATTGATTGAAATGGAGGTGGGTGGTAAAAGTAGTAGTAGTAGTAGTAGTAGTAGTAGTAGTAGTATATACTACTAGCTACTACAAAAACAAAACTTACTTTAATATTCGCGCTATACTCTCCCATGCTTAGTGGTTTTATTGGCGATAACTTAAGTTGTATTTATTATCAGTAGTTCGGGGAGTAAGATAGCAGATTGTAGTTTTCAGGTAGTAGAGCGGCGGAATGAATCCCGCTGTGTCAGTGGTTTAGTTGTTGTAAGTATATATATGATAACAGGTGAAGATTCATGTAGTGCTACGGGTATATGAACATTGATTCTCGAATCGAAGTCCGATGCAGTCTAGTATATATGGAAAGCACAATGAGTGCCTAATCTAAAAGAATGACGCTATGTATATTCACGGACGCGGTAATTTGTCATTTGATTAGCGTTGATTCGTTACATGGGCGACTTTAATATGCCTAAAGTCTAATGGTAAGGCTAGCTGCGGCTAATCACACCGGTATTGAATCTTCGAGCACACAAGTGCACTCCATAGATTCAAGCGCTGTGGTGATGCCAGATGTCAGGAGTCTGTTCCTGTCAAAAGTCCATGTAACTTCGATGATATCCGAGGTCCTGGACTCTCGCAGCTAGCTCTCTTGGGATTCATTTCGTCATTTGTCTACTGTCAGTCGCACCAGCAAGCTGACAGCCTGACCGGCACAAGGCCCCTAGAGTCAGCCTGCAGACGATAGGCGAGGAATGTGGATCCGCGAGCAATCCGAGCAATCGACAAGCGCGCCCTTGCTCCGCTGTAGCACATAAGGTTCCCTCAGCTGAACTCGCTCAAGCTCCGGCAGACTCCAACCGAGCCTTCTTGGCCCGGCGCTTCATTTCGCGCTTGGAAAGCGGTTTCTCCGCCTCCTCGCCTGTTGGCTCCGACCCCACTGATGCTTTCCTCTTCAAGTTGTCACCCGTGGCCTCCTGGGACTTTTTCTGCGCCGGTCCGTCCGCTTTCGTCTTAGCTTCTCCCCCTTCCACAATATCGATGATACCTCGCCAACTGGTCCGCTTCAGCTTGGCCAAGGCGGTCACCTTCCGGGCTTCCTCGCAGATTGCCTCTTTGCCACGCTCCTGCGAAAGACCCCAAACGCACGCCAGGTTGATCACATCCCATGGTGCCCGAACAGCCAGGGCTCGCTGCGCCTCGCTCGATATGATGATCCCCCGGCCGCGCGTGGCTCGTATTAACGATATCGCATTCCCGATTAGGTTGCGGCGAGCGTCAATTCCGCTCCCTGTGATTCCTGGTCCATAGCAGATCTCAAACCGAACCCCACGTGATATAGCAGCGGACACCATCTTGAATTTAAAGTGGAAGGGCAGTCGTATGGAGAAATCCAGGGAAATTATATCACACTCGAGATTGGTGCATGCGTTCAAGAGCGCCTTTTCATTGGTAGGCCTTATTGCGACGAGATCATAAACCTGAGTCAGGCTGGCAAGTCGCTGGTTCTGCGCGGGGTCGGAGAGGGTCAGGTTCAGGCGAGTTAGGAGCGTCAGGCCCTTGGGAACATTCTTTGGTGCAGGCGGGGGAGTAGGGTTTGAAGGAAGTTTTCCACTAATGGACTGGGATAGAGCAACGGTGGTGTAACCAACTGGTTGTCAGGTCAGCGCTTCATGTGGCCGTGAAGGGGGAGGGACCGCTCGGTGATCGGGTCTTGTGCCGAGGGGAGAAACATGACGCACGTTCTGCAAGAAAACTTAAGGTATTGGAAATCTCGGGATCGTCCGAGGCATAGGGCAGGTTGAGATCATAGAACATGATTCTGGGTGTTTGCGACGAGCTTAAAAACACCGAATGCGCCCGAAAGTATGTTGGAGATAGCCAGCAGAAGCAAAGGAAGCGATCGCGTGCAAAAGAACTGTCCGAGAACGGCAATCGAGAAATCGCCCGGGAATGCAGGATATTCCGGGCCGGCAGGTGATCTAGCCTTCAAAACGAACGGATCCCGTGACCGCAAAGGCGGAGCGAAACGCTCTTACTAGCCTAAGCCATTCTGATCTCCATCCCCAAAGACCGTCAGTCTAGTTATACTCGCCTTCACCTCTTCCCTCCCTCCTCCCTCCCCAATCGCTGGCTTCGGACGATAGCACGGCTGCCTTCTTGACACAGGCCCCCACCATTCTTGGCCTCGCAGCTGCTGTTGTCTGTCCCCTCCATCGCAATCCTTCCCTCGCGACGACGCCTTTTCGCTCGCCGCCCTTCCCTACCCCGCCGCTTTTTATCATCGATATACGTTTCATTGTGGGCTGACCCCGATTCTGCCTGCCAGCCGCCATCAACATGGCGCGCGTCTATGCCGATGTCAACGAACATATGCCCCGGTCCTACTGGGACTATGACAGTGTGAACATCTCCTGGGGTGTTCTGGAGAATTACGAGGTGGTCCGCAAGATCGGTAAGGCCAATACGACCGGCCGTCATCTACCCGCAAACATTCAAAACGTCGTCCCGGCCGCACGGCGAATGAATCGTGTACGTTCTGTGTGCTAACCACCATTTGGAACAGGCCGCGGAAAGTACTCCGAAGTGTTCGAGGGTATCAACGTCGTCAACTACCAGAAATGCGTTATCAAGGTACTCAAGCCGGTCAAGAAGAAGAAGATTAAGCGCGAGATCAAGATCCTTCAGAATCTGGCGGGTGGCCCCAACGTGGTCGCCTTGCTGGACGTGGTTCGCGACAGCCAAAGCAAGACGCCAAGCTTGGTGTTCGAATATGTCAACAACACGGATTTTCGGACTCTCTACCCGCGGTTCTCCGACTATGATGTCCGTTTCTACGTTTTCGAGCTTCTGAAGGCCCTGGATTTCTGCCACAGCAAGGGCATCATGCATCGGGACGTGAAGCCTCACAATGTCATGATTGATCATGAGAAGCGCAAGGTAGGTCTCCGCTCCAAAGTTATGCTGGCCTCTGCTGATGGAGATAGCTCCGCCTTATCGACTGGGGTCTTGCCGAATTCTACCACAAGGGCACGGAATACAACGTCCGCGTCGCCTCTCGTTACTTCAAGGGTCCCGAGCTTCTTGTTGATTTCCAAGAATACGACTACTCTCTGGACATGTGGTCCCTGGGAGCTATGTTTGCTTCCATGATCTTCCGCAAAGAGCCCTTCTTCCACGGTAACAGCAACTCCGACCAGTTGGTCAAGATCGCCAAGGTGCTCGGTACCGAGGAGCTGTTCGAGTACCTGGACAAGTATGAGATCGAGCTCGACCCTCAATATGATGAGATTCTCTCCCGCTTTCCCCGGAAGCCTTGGCTCTCGTTTGTAAATGCTGAGAACCAGCGCTTCGTTAGCGATGAAGCAATTGACTTTTTGGACAAACTTCTCCGTTATGACCATGCTGTATGAGACATCCCTCTGTTTGTGGAGAGCCCACCTGCTGACGTATTCCAGGAACGCCTTACTGCCCAGGAGGCCATGGCTCATCCGTACTTCGCCCCCGTGCGGGCGGCCGAGGCCCAGGCTGCCCGGAACAACACCACCACCGCTTAGAGATGAACGGTGTGCTGGTAGGACTATTATCATACCCCTACATCTGGATCCTCGCTGTAGCGAGCCATTTTTCTTTCCAATGTCGTTCTCCGATGTGATAACGAGATTTGATTCGGATGTTGAGTTAGTCTGTGTCTGGAATGGGATGCTGGATCTAATACTATAAAAACATCACAAAACATTGTGCCGCAAGGGCTGGGGGGAAGTTTGTCGTGGCATGAATGAAAGCGCCACGGGTGCGATGAGTTATGGCATACGGAGACGACGATGATGACAGATGACATACGCCTAATATATCTCGACTCAATCCTCTTGGCATACCCCCGTGAGTGGAATCTATGAGACGGTGTTTAGAGTGGGAAGGATTTTCGCTCCCCTGTTTGAACCTGCGTAACCATATAACCTTTTCCCATACTCTGCGCCTTTCTCGTTTCCGTTGTTCCGCGTGACTAGTTGGTCTGGTGTTGATGGGATCTCGTTTTACATGTGTCTGCGTTGCATTTCAATCTATCGCGTTTTGCCATTTTACTGGCGTTTCCTCCCATAATCTGCATGCCAATTTCAGTTTGATGCGTCATTGACACCGGCGTGAGGACTAGTTTATCTTTGGTGCTCATCTGATTCTGATTTTAACTTCTCCCCATGGGTGGTGTTGTTGGACTAGGCCGGCACTTGGAAGGCCGGCCTGGTCGAGGAGTGCTGGAGGCTACATAGAGCAAAGATGCCTTTCGACAGACTAGACTACGTATGCACAGGCTCTACCAAAGGCACTATACGATGTCACTGGGGAAAATACGTAGTCCATCCTGGTAATGTTCTTGTCTGATATAGTATAAAGTAGTGGACGGTCCGGCCACGACATCACGTGACCAGAGCATTGACTCAGACCGGCGCAGGGCGTGCAGGATTTCATCCGCGGAGTTAAGCAGATGAGTCAAAAATAAAGACATTGAGAATCCCCAATCGCTGTCCGACATAAAAACCGAGGCTAGTTCCTGTCAGAACCTGACATCTGTCACTGTGCATAAGGGACTACAAGCAGTTACTTTAGTACCAACTTAAGGCAGACTGTGGTCTCCACTGTTTGGGGAAAACAGAGACCTCAGGCCCCGCACCCGGATGCTCTGATTCGTTCCGATCTTTTGCTCTGCGCCAGGAAATTTAATTGCCCGCATTCGCACAACGACCCAACCCCTCCCCCTCCTGCTCTCTCTATCGCCGTTTGAGTCACCGGTGGTCAAGATACTTATCCGTCGGTTCGTGGCGCGATCGGCGCCTTGGAGATTCCCTCCTCCCCTTCCTCTATATCGTCCATTTTCCAGAATGGCCCAGCCCTCTGCTCCCCAAAACCCGAGTACGTTCTTCGTCGCCTTCCAACTTCCACCCCTCTTATCGTTCCCTCCCACCCCCGCGGAGCTCAATGTGACCGACTGACTGACCATCCTGCTGCTTACTTTAGCTGGTGAGCCCAAGGCTCCCGTCGACGTCCCTCCCCAGGCCGACGACCAGTTGCGGAACCAGGATGCCAATGCTGCCGCTCAGCCCGCCGAGGGCCAGAAGGTGAAGAGCGAGAAGGAACGTATGTAACCAACCTCCGGACCATGGGACCAGACTGTCCTGCCAACGCCTGACATCCTGGTGCAACAACATTCTGACAACTCGCTGGTTATCTATAGTGGAGCGTGAACGCCGCAAGGCCGAGAAGGCGAAGAAGTTCGCCGAGAAGCAGGCCAAGGCCGCTGCTGCGAAGACCGCCGCCCCCAAGGCCGAGAAGAAGCCTAAGGTTGAGAAGGAGAAGACCACTGATGCGTACGACCCCAAGGTTATCGAGGCTGGCCGTTACGAATGGTGGGAGGAGCGCGGCCTGTTCCAGCCCGAGTTCGGCTCGGACAACAAGGTCAAGCCCGAAGGTTACTTCGTCATTCCTATTCCTCCTCCCAATGTGACCGGTGCCCTGCACATGGGTCACGCTCTTACCAACGCTCTCCAAGACACCATGATCCGCTGGCAGCGCATGAAGGGCAAGACCACCCTGTGGCTGCCGGGTATGGACCACGCCGGTATCTCCACCCAGAGTGTCGTCGAGAAGATGCTGTGGAAGTTGGAGAAGAAGACCCGTCACGACCTGGGTCGTGAGGCTTTCCTCGAGCGCGTGTGGGATTGGAAGAAAGAATACCATGCCAACATTAAGAACGCCCTTCGCAGAGTCGGTGGTTCCTTCGACTGGACCCGCGAGGCGTTCACCATGGACCCCAACCTGTCCGCCGCCGTCACGGAGACTTTCGTTCGCCTTCACGAGGAGGGCATCATCTACCGTGCCAACCGCCTGGTCAACTGGTGTGTGGCTTTGAACACCTCTCTGTCCAACCTTGAAGTCGAGAACAAGGAGGTTGAAGGCCGCACTCTCCTCGACGTGCCGGGCTACGACAAGAAGATCGAGTTCGGTGTCTTGACTCACTTCTGCTATGAGGTCGATGTCGATGGTAAGACCGAGCGTATCGAGATCGCCACCACTCGTCCCGAGACCATGATTGGTGACAGTGGTATTGCTGTCCATCCCGACGACAAGCGCTACGCCCACTTGGTCGGCAAAAAGGCTCGCCACCCCTTCGTCGACCGCTTGATGCCTATTGTTGCCGACAAGGACGTCGACCCCGAGTTCGGTACCGGTGCCGTCAAGATCACCCCGGCCCACGACTTCAACGATTTCAACCGTGGAAAGGCCCACAACCTCGAGTTCATCTCCGTGCTGAACGACGACGGTACCTTCAACAGCAAGGGTGGTCCCTTCGCTGGCATGAAGCGCTTCGATGCCCGTTATAAGGTCATCGAGATGCTGAAGGAGAAGGGTCTCTATGTCAAGTGGGAGAACAACCCCATGAAGATCCCTCGCTGCGCCAAGTCCAACGATGTTATCGAACCCATCCTCAAGCCCCAGTGGTGGATGAAGATGGAGAGTCTCGCCAAGCCGGCCCTTGAGGCCGTTGAGAAGGGCGAGATCGTCATCAAGCCCGAGTCTGCTGAGAAGAGCTACTACCGCTGGATGACCAACATCAACGATTGGTGTCTGTCTCGTCAGCTGTGGTGGGGTCACCAGGCTCCCGCCTACTTTATCAAGATTGAGGGGGAGGAGAACGATGACAGCGATGGTGAGCGCTGGGTCACTGGCCGCACCGAAGAGGCTGCCCGCGAGAAGGCTGAGGCCAAGTTCCCTGGCAAGAAATTCGACTTGGTCCGGGATCCTGATGTCCTTGATACCTGGTTCTCTTCTGGACTGTGGCCGTTCTCGACCCTGGGCTGGCCCAACAAGACCCACGACCTGGAGAACCTGTACCCCACTTCCGTTTTGGAGACTGGCTGGGATATTCTGTTCTTCTGGGTTGCCAGAATGATCATGCTTGGTATTAAGATGACCGGCCAGGTCCCCTTCCGGGAGGTGTACTGCCACTCTCT